ACGTAGGCCAAATAACGCTTGGAGAGTGAAGTGAGCGTTTAACGCGACTGGTCCGATAATTAGCTATTCTAATTTGATCTATTATATATTTAATATGATCTAATATAGTAATTTAGACGCAAAACGTTCCGGAAAAAACTACAGCGATGTAATATCTGACAGCTGCGAGGACCTGTACGTACAGCGCGATTCTGAATTCATTTATAGCCAGTCTTAATAATAAATCGTGAAACGAATATACGGCAATATGCGATAATCCTTAGTGAGTTCAACGAATAGGTAGACACACAAAAAGATATCACAGGCAGCCGTCCACACTGTATGTAAAGGTAACCCATATATATATATATATATTGCGAATGTCATTCAAAGGACACTTGTTAGTAAGTCCTTATTGTTCGCGTATCCGCAGCTGTTAGGTTGAACATGATGCCATAATTTCCTAATGAGATTTTTGTTTCTGTCCAGTTAATTACTTGAGCATTTTATTGATGCCATAAGCACCAGTACAAACTTTGCAATGACAAGTGCATAAGGGCTGGGGCGTCTCTCCCATAAACAAACGGCATCGGTCTATAGGTCTAGCGAGCCATTATTATAACGCAATCTTTGCTGTTCGTCTGTTACGTAGTACATTTAAGGACCAGCTAAGGCCTTGGATCGTAGGACAGACGAAGAATAGCTCCGGTTAATCCGTTCTTCTATCCATTTACTCCTGTTGTGCATTAATATTGAGAGAATGTTCGATATACTTTGTAATCTTTTCGGCAAGAACAATCATAAAAGTCGTTGAATCCAACTTCATCGACGCCTTTATCAACTTGCTTCATTTGCTTTCTCCATTTAAAACTCGAAGATTTTCTTTCATGTTAACAAAATATTAATGTGCCCAAAGTTAGAATACCATTTCCTAATATGTTATCATGGCTTGGGGTCGTTAAACGCTCATTCGATTTTACGTATTCTGCCGTTTATCGACGCACTAGGTAAGTTTGTCTGAAAACGACCGTATTCATGTCAATATAAATGCAACAGACAGCGACCACTGGATTCGGTTCCGGCTATCTAAACAACGGCAGCTTAAAAATATACATATCTGTATATCTGTTATGCATTGAATCTCGCTTGAATTGGACAAGCAGCTTTATCGGTACCTGCTACAACAATGCTAGGGCGGTCATAGCACGAGTACTCAGGGGCTATACCCATCAATCATATGTGTGGGACCAGATGAATGGAATCAAATTAGATGAAAGTGGTTATAATTGTATAAGAAATTGTATAATGTATAAAAGGCTAATTTCGGGACGAGGGAATTTGCAAAATCTTTCCAGTTATTTCAGGTAAGCATAAGACTGCCGTAATAATACGAATATTTTTTTGCTAGTATCGTTAGGTCAAAAAATTGAGGTTCAGCTGGAACCAAATAATGGCTCCGGTATACAATTTGTATAAAATTTCGTCCGAAACTCCGGTTACGTATAATTGGCTCCGAACAGCAGAAGGCTTTCATTGGCAACAAAGGTTTCATAAATCCGCCAGCAGTAGTCATACCAAACGTGAGACATAGTTGGATAGCGGAAGCAGTGGAACATCTTTTTTTTACGAAAAACGCTAAAGTTACTGGCGTAAATTAACGTACTCAGTTTTCCTCTGATGTGTCTGATATGTCCCCTAATCGATCAAGGCAAATAGGAGAGGCAAGCCTCTCCTTCAGGAGACCGCAGTCATAACAATATACGTGACAGAATGTCACGGCACCACTCAATTTTTTGAATCGCTGTTATAGTATGTTCAGTAAGCATTAGGCGCGTCGCCCTCCACGTGTAACCAGAAGCGTCTGAGAGTCACCTTTGTGATGATACATTCCTCCTGATTCTGCTGTAATAAAAAGCCGATTTATGTGGCGCCATACGGTGTCAAAAGATCGTCGCATGTGTCGTTCAATAGAATTGAATATGGTAACGTAGATCTAAATGATTCTATATGCTACTGCAGCTCGAGACTAAGAGAAAGACGCGCACAGCAGCAGGCTTAACCGTGTGCATGCTGAACCATTTCTATACGCTTGATTCATTCTGCAGATGTGCATTGTAGCCGTTGGGATGTGCATTTTCGTCTGAAGAGGATGACGAAAGTCAACACCGGAAACTCTGCTCGTCTCGTTGAATGAATGTCTAATTAAGCGCGCAATCAGCACTGACGAATGGAGTCTACTTCACTAAGTACTTGTCATATGGTACTTCAGTGCTTGACTGACCTAAATCTGGAGGATATGTATTGAAGCACGGGGCCTATTAGAGGAGTTTAGCTGCATTTTTTCAACCTGAACGCAGGCGCTCTTAGGTCTTTCTTTTCAAGCAAGAAGCATTATCCCTTGTCAAAATTCTTAAACGAAAATAAGTATTAGATTATACAGTATAACCCTACGAAATTATGAAACAGTATCATAGATATGATCACTTACGAATTTCGAAAATGATGAAGACGTTTTTAGCTCGTCTCTTTTCGCAACTTTTGTCTCCGATTGATTTAGCACGTCGGAGGCTGGATATTGATAGGATACAATTAATAGCACGGCTTAACATGAAACAGAACACGCACGCAGACGAATTGATTTGACTCCAGTTCATTGGGATCTAAAAGCTTCGGCCATATTTTCCCAACTGTAGCCGCGTCTGTTTCGCGGTTGTCGATAATGGAGTGATCCAATTAATTTCGTTTGAACTGGATTTTCATTCTATCACAGTACTTAGTGGCTCTGACAAGACTGTCAACTACATGGAAATTGCGTGTCGAACAAGTAAGGCCCGTCACTATGAAGGCATCTAGTGGAAAAAGGGTAGACCATTTTCAATAGGTCGCAATACATTACGCTTAAGTGTTATGAAGGACGAACGAGGTGCACAGCATTGTCCGTCAGACCAACCAGTCAAGATCAACGGTTGAGAATTAGTATCTACTAGTAAATGATAACATCGGACAAGCTAAACATACGAAAAGTCGCGAAGGTCAATTTACTCATTGAACTTGGCTGTTTTATAATATCCTGTAGCTTTACATACGCGAGAAGGATACGAAGGAATTGGTGAATCAACGTCAGGCTGTGTTGATCGCGTCGAATGGTGCTGATCTCCACGTGTATACCTTTTCTGCTCTGCCTAAGGACCCAAATTTCAAATGCCTATAATTAGCGAGATGAAAGCCTAGCAACACTTGCTAGCTGCACTCTGTTATTCCCATTTTATATTCGCTTGTTCTTCAACAGAAGTACTACATCAACTTTTGCTACTCGTTTTGATTCTCAGCAAACATCTTACTGCTCCGCCAGCTCTATCAGTCCCTTCTTTTTTTGCTTATACTTCTTCCACCAGTTTAAAGTCTTCATTCTAACGCTTTTTGTTTTTAACTTGTCGAGGAGGAATGCTTATCTATAAAATTTATATCTGACATTTCCCATCGTGTCTATGGAGACGACAAGCACACCATCAACAACAACCAAAACCCAAACAGCAACGACCGTAGCCCATACCCAACGATTTTAGCTCTCCTTCATATATATATATAACTCAAGTAGAGCTATTTTTCCCTGGCTGTCAGCTGCTTCTACACTGGACTGCGGTGTCTGTGGTGTTATGATAGCATTGCCATATAAACGGTACATGTTTTACTTAGGGGAACGGTCTTAACTCTTTATACACACAACGGCAACTATAACAAGGCTGTATTGCTATTATCAGTAGTAGCCACGTAAAAGTAGTAATAATAAAAGCGATGATAATGACAATAATAACACTGAATATAATAATAGGCTGTCGCTGTATGTATTCCAGGAAAAGTTCATCACGTGAATGTTATTTTTACTGCAGTTCTACTTTTCTTCAGGGATTTTCTTAGCGCTGTTGTTGTTAGCCAGGCGAAAAAAATTGCTACTGAGATAATTAACGCGTTTTCTAGTTTTCAATCTTTAAAACTCACGTCAAATTGCTAAACGTAGTGTTTAACCGATGATAGTTGTAAGCACGTCGCTTATAAAGTGGCCATAGATAAACCGACAATGACGTATAATATTCTGCCGCTTTGTAGTTTGCTGCGAGGTGGTTACCTTCGAAGCAGTTTTTGTTTGAAAACTTTATAAAAAACAACGAACAGAGAACCCAGAATGCATAGCGAACAAAATTATCTATATAGTCATTATATTGCACCTATGTAAGTTTGTCAATAATAGGTTTTACCTATGTGATCAGCGAATCATAAAAATAACTGGCAGGCAGGCCGACAATCGGATCCGTCCTAAAGTTTCAGTTGTGACGGCCCATTAAAGCATAAGGTTCACATAAAGACATTGAAGAAGAAAATGGTTGAAGCGATATCCGGTCCAATTTAAGAAAGGAAAGACGTATAGCACTCAGCTACAAAAAAAGTGATTGATTACTATAAGTATTAATCTTCTCTACCTTTGCTCCAGGCAGATGGTTACAGTGATCCGACTGTTAACACGCTAATGGAGAGCATGCGTTCTCATGAATAAAATGTATTTATAAAATGGCATTACTACTTATCGACAAAACGCCTCGACGACAGCGCCACCAAAGCGGGCGGTCGCAGACAATAAACGACTCAGCGTCTCTCTTTCTTTCTTCGCGACACGCAACATTTAGCTCTTTGGTCTGAAACTCTTAACTCTGCCTTGATGCAATCTTTTAACAAATTGAATAATTTTGAACATGTACTAATCTAATCATTGGCCCCTATACCATACTTGGGGTGTTCTTACCTTAATTCTTCACCTGTCTGGTTCGTTGGGGAAGAGATTCGTTCTTATGATATCCAGCGACCTTAATGCAAGCGTGGTTACACACAGAAATGTTCACACATTTGGCCCAGCAGCCACATTATTTGTTACTCTCAACTAGATAAATTTATTATGTACTGAATTAAAACGAACGTTTAATCAAGTTTTGGCGGCACACTAAATTACATTTCATGTTTTCTCATAGGATCAGCGTTCCGTGGCGGATTCCCTAATAAATTAGGGATGGAAAATTACTTCCAGTTATTGGCAGGACCAAACGGTTGTCCCCGTCGAAGGGGACGGCAAACATACACAAGGTAAATACCAACAAATGTCGTCCGCATGTGAAAACATCTATTCAAACTATAAATCCTTTTGAAGGAGGATAATAAACAAACATAATTGTAAACAGGATCACTCGTCACTCGGGCGGTTATACCTTACACAATATATAATATTGTTACTTGCATTTAAAATATCGCCGAATTTCTTGAAAACGAACATATATATAATGGAAAAAAATAGAAATAATTTCTATTTTTATATATTATACGCCCTTTAAAACGGATTCATTTATTTTTCTTTAGCAACGTGGAAGCAGTTCAGTCATAAGTTTTAGTGATTAGAAATAGCCTTCACTACTCTCCGCGTTAAATTCAATTCTGAAGATACTGGCAAATTTATCTTATGTCACGGCATGGGTAATATATATATATACAAATATATGTATTTGCGAAGATACTCAGATCAATCGAATCACATGTGAAGCGTCATAACGTTAGTCTAATGCGAGGCCATCTTTGAGGAAGGAGACAAACCTCACGCCAATATATTACTGATCTTGTTTTATATCCATGTTATTTGGGCTTTGTTCTTGTGCGCAGATATCAAACGCTGGAGTTAGAAAAAGAGTTCCACTTTAATCATTATCTGACTCGAAGACGAAGGATCGAGATCGCCCATGCGCTTTGCCTCACCGAACGCCAGATTAAGATTTGGTTTCAGAACAGGCGGATGAAACTCAAGAAGGAAATGCGAGCATCGAAGGACGGTGACGCAAATGATGAAAGTAAAGATGAGAAAGATGGCGGTGAAGGGGAAGATAGCTCGGATCAAAAAGATACCAAGTAAGTACAATGTGCACCTAGTAAGAAGTCTTGTTCTCACACCTTATTACATATTGTCCCGCATAATTGAATGTTTTTCGTCGAATCATTTGTCACTACCACAGCTCTATAACTATGATTCCCTGTCCCTGTGTAGTTATACACAAAATACACCTTTTTTCACTTAGCGACGCAAATTTGCTTAATAAATTGAAATAATTTAATAACTTAATAGCTTAATTCAACAGAGATACTCACGCATGCTACTAAAAACGTTTTTCTTTTAGGTTTTACTCACTCCGTGTATAGAGTGCAGCCCCTTAACTACCACTGACTTAAATATCTTTTTAGGGCCGGAAGTTCAACAGACGCTGATACAACAACGCTAGCCAGTGACAGTGAGGGCGACTCTGAAGATGAAGAGGTGGACCCTGTTGGAGAGGAGTCCGGCGGTATGGTAGGTGCTAGAGAACCTTTGAGTGTCCTTAAAGGGCTCAAAGGATTTAAGGATCTCAATAAGAACAAGGGCATATCAATGGATGGGACGTCAGATGATCGAAGCACGGCCAACTCGCCGTGTCAGGCAACGCAAACAGCGACAGAGGATACCCGAGTCATTGGTGTCTTACGGGACAAAAGTCCCCCACCATTGCAACAGTCCAGTCCCGTTCCATTTAACTATAGGTAAGTAGTTAGCAAACCATGTTCGCAAATGAGATCTACTTTTTTGTTGTTTTTTGTTTTTTTTTTGTTTAGTAAAAAAAAGCGGCTAAAATGATTGCTGTCATATATGGCATGCATGGTTTTCACCGTTAAAGCTTTTTGTATTTTTAAAACTCTGCAATTCGAAATTTAAATTGTGTATACTCCCTTTTCCTTTCTGCAAATGTGTTGGTCTTCTTTAGTTGACTGGTTTTGTAAATGACGCCAATAACTCTGTGCTTGATTTATTTTTGTTCCAACAGCATCCCGCACCTCAGCAATCTTCAGCAGATGTCCCAGCAGCTACAAAGCTCTCAGGGAGGAACATTTTTGCAACAGCAGCAGCAGCAACATCTGCAGATGCAGACATCGTCTCCTACACCGACGATTTTCTTTCCGCTGGCATTTGCTCCACCTCCGTGTGGCGAAACCGCTTCGCCTTCCCCTCCAGCGACAATTCTTAACGTCATTTAAGCGAGTGGTTACTCAACAGCCCTAGAAAAATTAATTTTCGTTAGTGAAATTGTCCAGTGGTCGAAAGATATCTAGGATGGTTTCAGGAATTTTGAATTGGCTAAATGTCAGCTCTTTTCTCCACGTTGGGCTAATTGAACAAGCTAATTTTCCCAAAGCTACATTGATAACCTACACCAATGAGCGTATGCTCTATTCTTATACATGCCTTATCAGAAAATTCTGAAATACATTTACTTCATGTTAGAAAACATAACTTATACATCTTTAAATTGAACCAACTTGATGCATCAGCACTCGCATATGTTCGCCTGCAGAAGCTTGTATGGGCAAAGATCTAAAGCCAAACGTGTATGATGAAGATTGAAACTCACTTGTTACAAGTGCCTACCAGCGTTATTATTATTACTATGATTATTAGTGTGACTTTTATACTGATATACCGCCTATAGAGCATCTCATCTAGTGAAGCGACGTGCAATCTCGTAGTGTGTACGACAATTAAGTTATTTCAGATCGAGAACTTTCTTTTCACAAATACGAATGCGCACCTATTCATTATAGACATATGACCAATAGTGGTTGACCTTTAATAATTTTGATTTAGACACGTAACCTCGTAGTGATTATAGGGTACTCTAAATATGAAGTCGGTGGATCCGATTTGACCTCCTGTATAGTTAGATAGTTATATGAGTATTGATCGTTCGAGTTGTACTCTCTGCTCAAAGCAATATTTCTAGTAAATCTTCAGTTCCTTTAAGATATGAAACATTTTTATTATCATTTAGAAAGATACAAACATCTGTATTATCGATATACAATATATAAGCTGATTTATATATTTTGATGAACATTTTGTTTAGGTAAAGGCGTATTATGCGCTGCGATCCTGTTGAACCGGAAGACGTTGAATAAATTTGAAGCAGACGAGCACTATCTTGTTAGGCAAATGTTAGAGCTGTTTAATTATATTTATCGACAAAAATAGGATACTTCGTTAAGTCGCATTTCTGTTTCAGTGATATAAGTCAAACTGCATTGAGGTAGCTCTTGCCAATCGTCAATTCCTTATCGATGACTGATTTCAACTACAAAGGTTTTTTCATGAACATATGTTTACACACAGCTCCCGCTAGACCGATCTGTGTGGAACACGGTTAGCGACACTTATTATTGCTGATATCCATTGTTTGTCTGGTGGAAACCAGATTTATCACCATCTATGGTCTATTATGTCAAAATTAAGCGTTTTCCTTTTTATATGACGTCTTCCCTACATTGCAAGAGAACGATAGCTATTCACTTTAAATAAAATACATTATTTGCTTAGAAATTGTTTCTTTTTTGTGATAGATTCACACCTATTAGAAGAGTAATGTTTAAATGTGAGTGAAGTAGTGGGATAGGCGATGCGAATAAATTGTCGGCATACAGATCCGGAGAAAACATTTTATCAGAACGGCATTGACGAAGCCAGGCTTCGATATAGAAGATCGATTAAAAAATAATCAAGTATATTACCCATACGAAATTCTGCCACGATAAATGTAATAAATTACTGCCCACAAGAATTCGCTTAAGAGTGTTTACAGTCAACCCACACAGACAATCCAAGTTTTTGTTAATTGTTTCTGTTCTAATAGGAGTATGATAAACGCAAATTTATGTTAAAATATTGCTCACGGTGCGTAAAGCTGACATCCAGACGAATACTTAATTAAACAATGGTTTGGGCTTCGGAGCTTAGAACAGTCTATGCGAGGAGCGTCCCCTGTTGCTGTGGATAATTTTAGGAAACAAATAAATATGGTAGTTGTTATTAAAAAGGAACAAAAACATCATTCCCTGCGCATGGAATGCCAATGTTCGTGTGTTAGAAGCTTCTCCAAGAAATTTTTCAGGTTTTTGTAAACGTCCTACTGGAGTATCTGATGCCATATCAGACACTACTTAAATAAAAACTGACAGGTACTACTTCTTGCAAATATTAAGCAACTTCTAAAGTGAGATGGGTTAAGTACTTTAGTTTTTTGAGTACCTAAAGCACACTTCGCTGTTGTTGCCTTGAATGTAAACCCGCCAGACCTAACTGCAACTTGTTTCACATAACCTTATATAGCATTTGAATCATGTCAGTCCTAGGGTTGTTAATGAGGGATTTCTTAGAAAGACTATATAAATTCGCGATGCCATTAACGACCAGGATTTTAAGTAGCTGTATTAACTGGAGTATTTTCTTTTTTTGTATTAAGCCAAAATCTTAGGATATGAATCGGAGTCGCGGTAATTTCGGCCGGCCATTCGTTTGGTCCATCATTTGAAGCCTCGGACGACTACCCAAAGGCATTCTGAAAAAAGGGTCGCCGGCAAATAGCTCGTGAATTAACTAAGATGATGAACCACTGTCTCATGACCATCGACAGTCTAAGTGCTTCTTAAACTAAATAAAATGCAAAGAAATATACAGTTGTGTCATTGTCTTTCGGCATGTCAGTTACGGGAAGTACGCCTAAGCCCACAGTTACATTCTCTCCACGTCAACAAGATGATTGTCCTCAATAGAGTTGAAAGGATCTCAGGCACTGGAAAATGTATGAGAAGAACAGGAAGGTCGCCAGATATTTGCATATGTTGCAATGTCATCGGTTGAATGTAGCTATAGAAAGAAAAAGAGCTTATAGATAAATAGAATCATCCTTTTTCATGACATTGTCAAACCACATATGACAAAAATCGTCAAAGCCTCCACACAACAACTCCATTGGGAGGTTCTTGTTACACTCATCATATTTTGCAGTTCCCGCGGCAGCGGAATCCCACCCTTTTTAATGTTTGACAAATTAAATTAAACCGTCCATTTGATAGTAAAAGAGCCTCAGGAGTGGACGACTTCCATCTGTATATAGAAGCTTGAACGACTCCGAGAAGCCAATGTAATTATAAGTTGGTCGTGCTTGAACGGAATAAAAATTTAGCACCAAAAATTATGAGTGACTCCAAAAAGCACTGTTTACCTAATTCAGTGAAATACTATCAGCATTAATTGTGCATAAAGTATTTGTGCAAAAAACAAAATCCACGTCCCCAAAGCGTACTAAGTATATAGA